TACAATAAGATAAATATATAATATATAAACCAAACTGATGTTGCATGGCATTTAAGTATTATTACTCAACTGAGCTAAACATTCTATTCTTACCTGTTGCTTTTCCCATATATCTGACCACTTCTATAACATCTTTGATGTCGTTAATATCATCCCAATCTAAATCTGTGGAATGTGCTGTTACTTCATCTACTAAACATGGTACTTTCCCTAATGTTGTGTAACCCAACCATTTTGGAGTACTAGCTTGCATGGCATATGAACATAATACTGTTCTTAAACCATCATGTTCAAAAAGTTTTTCTAAGTCTGGATTTCGTACCACATAACTAACAGCAGAACGTTGTGCAGGTTTCATGTATAATACAATATCGTTTTCGAGCGTCTCAGATCGACCTTCGACCAGTATACTATAACTTACCTTACCAGCACTACCAATACCGGGACTTGAACGTGCTACAATATCTTTAATATTGTACGATACTGGTTCATGATGATCCGTTTGTTTTTTGCTCTCCGGTATTGATTTCAAATACATTTTAAATGCATCCATTATTTTTGCTCGTAATTCTTCATCAACGTCTTTGGTATACTTGCTACGTATAAATCGACGATCATAATTTTCGATACAAGTCATTGTATCCAAATGAGCAACATGTGATTTAACACGTGTTTCATTTAATAACAGTTTTATTTTACCACTTGTATTTTTTAATGTTAAAGCAAACTGATCTTTACTTTTCTTACAAAATTCATATACTTGTTTTAAATATTCTTCGGCACATGTTGTGAGAATGGTAACGATTTCCTCATCGCTAAAACCTTTTGTATAAGCAACTAAATTTAAACTAGCTAATAAACGCTTTATATCCCATGTGAAAGGACCACAATAACCTTCATCAAAATCGTTTACATCAAAATTTAAAATACCATTACAATCCAAATATGAACCAAAATTTTCAGCATGTAAATCACCCTATAAGAAAATTGTTATTTTAGAAAGAATAAAACCTACTATCCGTTTCAAAATACAAGTGAGAAAACTATTTCTGCAAACACTTTTAAATAAAGTGAGCTAGAGACTTCAAATATCATAGACTGATAGTTTATATGTGACTCTACAATCCTAGACATGTTTCAGATGTCCAGTTCTTCTAGTCCTCTACCTACAGGCGTCTAGGGGGGAAAAGCAGCTTCATAGCTCTGGTGGTACCACATGGCTTCACATGAGTTCCAAACAGGTTCACTCGGTTTCACTCAGCTCCAATTAGTTCCAATGAGCTTCAATCAGTTCCGTTCAATTCCACTGAACTCTCACCCTCTGGAACTCATTGGAACTAAGTAGAACTGAATGGAACTCAGTGGAGCTCATTGGAAGTCATATGGAGTCATCTAGTATCACCGGAACTGTCGAGCCGGCGGCAGCTTCAGAGGGTTCCACACGATTCCACTCGGCTTCACTGAGTTTCATTGAGTACCTGATGGTACCGGGAGCTGCTTTTTCCCCCTAGACAAGCGTTATCCGACGATCGTCCTTTCTCCGAACAGGCATACGTGGGAACGTCAAAAGTACATGCTCGTAGATTATGAATCAAGTGGAAAAATTGAATTATTCAAAAATTCCAAAAAGTTCAACTGAACAATTCGTTGCTCCTGAGGTTTTTGGGAAGATCTCCGGAAACTTTTCGGCCAATCTATGGTTTAGACCCAACTTTTTCCACTTGATACATAATCTACGAGCCGTCTTGAGTATTTTCTGAAAATGTTAGTGATTTTAGATCAGAGATCAATGACTTATGAGTGTTTTAATTTTGCATGCACATAGGCAAAATACTGGATTTTGGTAAAAACGGCTTAGCTGAGATCGCATTAATCTGGTGAAGAAAATAAACCATGCCGGATAAACAGACGTTGGCTACACAATGATGGAAATGGCAAGTCTCTAGCTCATTTTATTTAAAAGTGTTTGTAGAAATACGTTTCTCACTTGTGTTTTGAAGCGGGGATAGTAGTCATAAAATTGTCAAAAACTATAATTTATTTTTCTCGGACGGAAATCAAAAATAATTCTAAACTTACATGTATAAATATATGATCGGCTGCGTTTTCATGAATCCATTTATCATTA